AGAAATGCCTTAATATAACTTTAAACTTTTTACAATTATTAGATGCGTTCTTAATCTCTTTGGGAAGTTTGTTGAATTTTTTATACCTGCATAATAAACTCCTGTTTGATAAAAAGTTAAATTAGCTTGAGGTAGACAAAAAATCTTGTAAGATTTGAGGCTTTCACGGTGGTGACTATGAAGAAAGCAGTCTTCTGGGATTTGGCACCGTGTATATGTGGGGTTAACACCACATATACACTGTGCCAAATCTTCAAAAAATCTTGTCTTTGTCTAGTATCAATAGTGTGAGAATCAGTGTTTGATGGTAAAAGAACTTTATTTTGCAATACAGATAGTAACAACAAAAATATATATTGTGATTCAAGTGATAAAATATTTGATTCTTTAAATATGTTTCTACACGAAACTCTATTGCCATATCCCAACATCGCTCTGACAGCTGTGAAGCTAACTGCTTACTTCATTTGATACTGTGGGTATGAATGACTGCTGAGTCTATATAAATTATGATATAACATCCAAGTAGTCAAAGGGCAGCAGTTCATCCCAGACACACTGACATGACATAATGTTGCTTTGATACAGGACTATTGGGTCTTGCTGGTACATAAGGCCCTGGTTGGGAGAGTTGTTTTTGATGTGAAGCAAAGCTACAACACCAACAGCCATATTCATATGTTCTGCCATTGTACACACCATTACACAACTTGGCTGTTTGGGGAGGCAGTCAGCTACAAACATGGGGCCATCATGTGCTTCGGCATCAACTACTGGAACACCAAGGTCAAGATCATTTTGAAGCTTGGTTCCACAGGGCAGAGGAATGAGGAAGTCCATCAGTACCTGTTAACATCTGCTGGAAATGGACAGAAATCAAGGTAATGCATGAAAAACATAATGGTTAAACAGCCAGGGTAGAATGCAATGTTATATGTAGAATCGATGAGGCAGTTGAGATGGCTGTATTGTGGCCAGAAGAAGACTCTCTGGCCCTGCTGGAGACTGAATCCCAGTTTTTAGCAGCTCATTTTACTGATTGAGCTATCCCGCTTCCCAATGGCAATGAACCCCATGGAGAAGAATCCTTCTTGAGAAAAAAAATATTCGTTTAGCTACTCAACAAATTCACCACCTTTCATGAAACCTGAAGGTTCACTGCCAATGGCATCTCACTGGTGCCTGTCTTGAGACACATGAATTTATTCCACTTTCCCTAACCATATTTATTAAAGTCCATTTTAATATAATTAATATTTCTGGATGGCTGGATGGATTTGAAGTATGAAGAGTGGGATGTTCTGGGTTGTAATGCTGTGTTGTTTGGCAGAAGTCCATGTTCCTCCAAAATGTCAATGGGCTTTTTTCTAACTACATGGCCTTACAACCCACAAGATCATCCTCTTCATAATCACCAGTCTGAGAACCTCAAATCTAGGGGGTGGAAGTCCATTATTCCAACCTCATTTACAGCTAGAAGTCTCAGAGTTCTGCCTATGATTCATCCAACAGCATTTACATAATTTGCTCCACTAGCAATAATGGATAGTCTGCTTTCATTTCTTTCAGCGAAACACTTCTGAATGTAAAACCTTTAAATCTTGAGGATGAAGGTATGCTGCCAGTCCTGTCTCCAAATATCCATCACACAGGACAGAATATTGTTGACACTCCCTCCCAGGAGTATGCAACTCAATGCTATTGGCGGGCAACACAGCCACTGCTGCC